CGTTTAATAGGGAAAAATATATTAACATTCGCAATCACTGCAATAAGGTGTGTAGGGATGCTCAACGCCTTCATATTAATAAGTCAGTCGAAAATTGTGATACGGCAAAGGTCTGGAAATTTCTTAAATCATTGGGTGTTGGGAAATCTAAGAATAGTCTAACGACAAAAGATTTAAACGTTAATGGTCTAAATAAGCATTTCTCTTCTTCGTCCTGTTTAGATAACACTATTAAGGCTAATACACTAACATATCTTTCAACTATTCCCACTCCCAATTATTCTTGTTTTGTTTTCAAACCATTATCTGCTTGTGACGTTAAGAAGAGCGTTCTACGAGTATCTCTTACTTCCAATGCAGTGGGAAGTGACTGTGTCAGTCGTAACATGATTCTTCCCATTCTCGATATTATTCTTCCTATTATTTTATCCTTAACTTCTCCATTTCTACAAGTAGTTTTCCATCATCTTGGAAAAATGCTGAAATTATTCCTATTCGAAAGAAAAGTAATCCTACATCCTTTTCTGAATAACGTCCTATCTCTTTACTGCCCTTCTTATCTAAAGTCCTTGAACGCCTTGTTTACACCCAGTTCAACAGTTTTCTTTGTGCGAATGCTCTTCTTAATCCTTTACAGTCAGGATTTCGACCTGGACACAGTACTGACACAGAATTGGTGAACATCACCGATGATATACGATTAGGAATGGAAAACAGTGAAGTGACTGTTCTTTGTTTATTAGATTTCAGTAATGCTTTTAATACCGTTGACCATGATGTCCTACTCGGCATAATGCGCTCTCTTAATGTATCTCCAACAGCGATTGGTTGGTTTCATAGTTACCTGTCTGGTCGCCAGCAACGTATACGTATCGACGATACATTATCATCTTGGTGTAACGTACGTGTTGGTGTACCACAGGAAGGCGTTTTATCTCCTTTACTTTTTGCAGTTTTTATAAACTCAATATCCAATAATTTAACTTCTTCCTACCGCCTTTATGCAGATGATCTACAAATATATACAAAAGCTTGTCCCAGCGATCTCCCCAATGCTATCAATGTTGTTAATGCAGATCTCGATCGAATTCTTGAGTGGAGTAATGCATACGGCCTTCACGTTAACCCAGCAAAATCGCAAGCCGTTATCATGGGCAGCGCGCAAATGTTGGCTCAGTCGAGCCTAGATTACCTGCCTGTAGTATTTGGTAAAACTATTATTCCTTACTTAGATTCAGTAAAGAACTTAGGTATCCACATAAATAAGAATCTGTCGTGGGGACAGCACATCAAAGAAATTAATTGCAAAGTTTATGCCTCGGCAGCCTCCTTGCGTAGATTACGTAACTTTCTATTTTTTGACTACGCAGACGTCAGCTATCTAGATCTCACCGAAGCTCACCTCGATAAACTTGAGCGAATTCCGAATTTTTGCATAAAGTTTATATATGGATTGCGCAAATATGACCTTGTATCTCTTTTTCGTACTAAGCTCAAGTGGTTGCCAATACGACTTCATCGGAATGCTCACATACTTCATCTTCTCTATAGTGTTCTCTTTAATCCTTTTTACCCTTCTTACCTCAAAAATCGTGATGAGTTTCTTCATGATTCCCATTCGTGTAACTTGAGATCAGCAGAGAGTTTGGAGTTGAATTTGCTACTATACACTAGAAAATGTATGAACTAGTCTTTTACTGTACAGGCCGTTCATTTATGGAATTAACTCCCATTGTCAGTAAAACGCGCACCATCCCTACCGGTATTTAAAAAACTAGTTAAGAATCACTACCTCGCACTTTAAATTCTAACTTCACTTCCACACTAGCCATTAAATAATATATTATATGTATCATATCAATTTCATTTAATTAAATAATTCAATATATATATGTATGTATATATGTTTATAGTATGTGTATGTATAGTATGTATATGTGTTTATTCTTTTTTATCTCTTTTTTTCTCCAACACACCAATTTGCCCTGCCCTTGTCATATTCGTTAAATCCTGTCCATTCATTGGTTGTCTGGAAGAAATTGCTATCAGCAACAAAACCGCCCATTGCATACTTCTTATATATATAATTTCTGTAATTTATGTATGGTGTGCAATAAAGAATATTAAATAAATAATTAATTTTAAAAACTAACCCAAATTGGGATCAACAAATTATATATTTAGTTCCCTAGACTTGTTTTTTCGGGATATTCTCTAATAGAAAAAAGAATTTATTATTATTATAAAAACGTTACCTCCCTACTAGGTTTTATCCTGTATCGCGGGGGTAGGTTACATACATATGTTTGCCATAAAGTCGTCAATTCACTGCTATATGGTTTGAAAGATAAATAATTTTACGATTGTTAATTTAAAGTAATATGCTATGAATAATTTTTGAGTATATTCTTCTTAAACTGGACTATAAAATACCATTTTGTTGCAATATATGCTAAAAAATGGATATATATGCTGATGGATGCGCATGTTTGGACGTAGAAAATCTGTTGCTGTCAGCAGCAGAATTGCTAAAACTATGCGGTTTAAATAAACATTTACATTATATGTATAATTTAATTTATGGATATAACTGAATCTTATTTACGCTCTATCCTATTCTTCATTCATCCATCGATCCATACAGCGTATCAAGTCCACTGCTGAACATAGGCCTTCTCCATATGTGTGTAGCAATGATGAGTTTGATTATTTATATAATCATTGTTGAGTCAGATTAATATCCGTTACCGTTAATTACAGCCTATCAAAAAGCCATAGCTGAACATTGACCTCCCTCATAGCTACGCTTGGCAGTCGGCTTTTTTTTTATAAGGAAGACGGTGCTGTCCATCTTCTAGTTTGTTTCCCTCTGTGGCTTCTTACGATACACACGGGACGATATGTGGAAGTGGATATTCTTACACCGCCATTACACTTGGTCTACATCGTCTTTACACAGTCTGAAAAAGACTTGAATAGTAAAAAAAACTAAAAAAATAATTTATGAGCCCCGAAAAAGGAGAATGTTCTAATTTCGAATATATATTGTTGTTTCTTGTAGGTTTAGCCTCAGAGCCACTGTTCACAATTTGTGAAATATTAATACATCTATAAAGCAACTCGTTGTCAATCCAAAAAATTTGAACGTGATTATTTGAAGGAATGTACACATGTGCTTCTACGTTTCATATTTAAATTATTCTTATCAGATATTTCTAAATCGACAACCTTTTATATATAAAAATGCCAGCTTCTCATTAATGCAAGAAAAATTAATTAGATCAATTTGATATAACCAGAATTCTGTCTCAAGCTCTGATAATAAAAAAGATTCATCCGAAAGCCTTTTTTAATTGCTTAAAATATAAAACTGCTGTCCTAGGTAAAATTCAAATATAATTGCTTTTCACAATTTGATTAAATAGGCCATATCAAAATTATATTCCGCTTTATTTTATTTTTCTTTTTATTGAATAAAAGAGTATAAGCTAAATCATCCGTTCAAAATAAAAATCTTTTATTTTGAATCAGAGTTTTAGTGTAACTATCACTTTCTAACATTTTATTATTTTAAAAATGAGACAGAATCTTACATAAGAAAAGAGGGGTTTGACAAATCTTATGTACCCTTACATGGGGGTAGTAGGGTTAAAAATCGCCAAAATTATCCTCACGTATATAATGAATGGCCCCTACAATATATATATATATATATATATATATATATATATATATATATATATATATATATATATATATATTTACTTTAAATATGCGTACCACCTGTGCTGTAAAAGGTTGTGCGTCAGTCGTACAGTAATAATAGTGGAGGATTGCGTTTTTATGAATACCTAAAGGATCTCCTCATCCATGTAAGTCCCACTTATATAACTTATTTTCTAGATCTTTAACTATAGGTTGAAAACTACTTAAGTATCTACAATCATCTAGAAAGTTCATATTTTCTGTTGCTATAAACTTACCTACCTATTATTTTAGAAACGCGGGATATATCTACTTAAATGAAAATATATTTTCTATGATTAGTAATATACGAGTAACTATAATCATAAGTAAAAATCTAACATAATAGACCATCATCCGGCGGCACGGCCGTCGGTGCCCAATGAAGTCTCACGGCGTGTGTACAATCAGACAAAGCTGCTGTTGAGCCTATTTATCTACATTAGTACCTAACTTTTCCTTACGCTCTTACATCCTATCTAATTTAAAAGATGTTTATGAAGCTTTTATATATTATTATGAGTATTATATTACTAGAATCTTATATTTATAAAATAATGAAGGCTTATTTTCCTTTCTTACTGCGACATTATACATCACGGTTAGAGTATTATATTATACGGTTAGTACCTAACTTTTAAAATTACCGCTAATTTATATTATTTAAATATAATGTTATAAATTCATTATTTAAGGAAATGTTTTTGTGATAACCCTTGCATATTATTTATATGTTTTTGTGGCTCAAACTTATTGATTGTCGGTCGATTAATTTAAGTTAAAAAATGTATAAAGTAGATCCGTTATTGGCTGTAAGTTTATTTCTTAAGTTTTTTTATCATAAAGCCAAGTACCGACATTAAGCGGGTGAACGTGTTAAAAAGTGTTCCGATCAAATTAATCGTTAAACGTATCAAACAGCGTTATTCAGTGATATAGTGCAATAGTTGTGAGATTATAATAGTTTTACAAATTACATTGGTGAATAGTTTTGATAAAAGTGGTCTAAGTTAAGAAAAATTAGCAAAATTATTTAAGCTTACCCTTTAACAATACTTGAAGGAGATATCGTACAAGGAGATCAAAAATTTTATCGTATCAGTTCAAGGCGTACTGGTCGAACGGCCTAACGGTGTGCAAAAGTAAAAAGTGACGGAGGATCGAGTCCACTACATTGTAAATTGGAGTTAACGCACTTTTTGTACTTATAAATAATATTGCATTCTCTGCATTTTAACGCTTTATTCAATAGTAAAATGGGCGTAAGGTGTGAAGCATGCAGATTAAATATAAATGTTACACAAAAACGAATAAAATGCACACAATGTTCGCATAATTACCATTCAGAGTGCATAAATTTTAATAATGATACTGCTTCAAGATCTGAATGGAAGTTTCCCGCTTGCATTGCTTCTTGTCGAAAAGGTGGTGACAACAGTAACACTCTGATACGCTCTAATAAGTCTCCTTCTAAAATCGTTCACGATAAAACTATGATTAGACCATCAAACAAAAGTTCCGACCAACCAACACCTATCACTGAGACAAGTAGTTGCCAACCATATAATTTGGAATTAATTAATAGCATAGAGTTACTGTTAGACAAAAAACTCAGTGCTATAAAATTCGATATAATTCAAGAGTTGAAATTATCACTTATCACGGAAATAAAAAATGAAATAACTAGTAACCTTAAACAGCTGGAAGAATCGCATAACAGTTTGCTAAATGACTACAACAATCTCAAAAGTAATTTTGAAAAACTTCAACTAAATGTCCAAGATGGCGAAATGAAACTGACGGATTTATGTGCGCAAATAAAAAAGAGCAACAATGGGGCAGGCATTCGAACTTAGAGATTGTTGGTCTACCTGAAAACTCAAAAGAATCAATTTCTGAATTAACAATCAAAATAGCCAGCCATGCAGAAATTAAGCTTACCAATGATCAAATTGTTTCTGCGCACAGAGTCCAGCCTATGCAGAATGTTGGAGGTCGCCCAAAAAACATTATAGTCAAACTTCAGAATCGCACTATTTAAGATAATATTATTTCAGGGCTACGCAAAACCAAAGGAATTACTACTTCTGATATTGAACTAGGTGGTCCAGCCAAAAGGTTTTTTGTTAATGAACACTTGACCCCTGAGAATAAGCAACTCTTGAAGACAGTAAAATCACGAGCAATGGCCAAATCATACAAGTTTGTCTGGGTGAGAAACTGCCACATTTTTTTAAGGAAAAACGAGGAGTCTCCTGTTATCACTATAAATTCCGTAAAAGATTTATTAAAAATTGTATGATAAGATTAATTTTGATAGTACTAGCATGCTATGTTTTAATATTAATAGTTACTTATTTAACACATAAAACAACCCTCACAATTTACTCATTCATTACTACATACATCAAAATCTTACATTCACACACATCTTTTAAAATTTACAGTAATACTGAATATTTACACCAATATGCCCTACAAAAGAAATGTATAAGCTACCATTTCTTACTTGTACAAAAAGAAAATTCCTGTCTGTTGCAAAACCATCCATCATGACTCCTCAATCTCTATTACTTCTGTTACATAATATAATTATTATCTACATTTCTATTAAATATTATGATAAATATAATTTTTATAAGTTAATTACAACACAGTGGTACCTAAATCATGCTAAAAGTGCATAATAACTCAATGTACGTATTCTATCAAAACGTCCGTGGCTTGCGAACTAAAACTAAGCAATTACGAGACAGTATAATTTGTAATAATTTCAACATAATACTCATTACTGAAACTTGGTTAACTGATGGTATTTACAACGGTGAATTGTGTGACAACAGGTACGACATATTTAGGTATGATAGAAATAAAACATCTCCGCATAAAAAGAAGGGTGGGGGAGTTATGATTTGTACGTACACACAATTAGAAGCTCAAGAACGGACGGAATGGATGTGTAGAGATCTCGAATGTTTGTGGGTAACAGTACCAGGAAAATATTTAAGTTGTCAAGACAGACATAATTTACACATTGGAGTTGTTTAAATACCGCCTGATAATTATCAATCAAAGCGTTTAGATAATTTTACAGAAATGCTCACAAAAATCATAACACAATATCCAAATGATCACTTTATAGTTGCCGGTGACTTCAACCTAGCAAATATATCCTGGTCCTCTTCAGGTCCCGTCATGCTTAAGCAAGGTCCAGTAGAATTATAAAATGCTGCAGTAAAGTTAATTGATCTATGCAACTTATCAGGGCTAAATCAACATAATATTATCAGCAAATATAGTGGCAACGTACTAGACTTAGTGTTTAGTAACATAAACATAGACGTTACCCGTTGTCAAATATATCTTGTATCTGAGGATAAATATCATCCTTCTTTATTGCTCGACGCATCTGATCTGTCAATACCATGTTTAAAAAATAAACCACGATCAAAATTAAACTTTTTCCGAGCTGATTATGATAAAATAAATAAAAATCTCTCAGAAGTCAACTGATCTACCTTGTTAATTGGCAACTCAATTGATGTCGTAGTTCAAAATTTTTATTCCCAACTATATCTAATAATTGATAAACTTGTACCTACTTGTTTATCGCGTTCATCTAATTACCCTGTATGGTATTCTAAATCACTAAGGCATATTATTCGAAAAAAGCTCTTAAAACATAAAAATTGGAAAAAGTATAAAAATCCTCGTGATTATGATGAATTTTGCATAGAGATAAAATTCAAAGTCTCTTAAAAATGATCCTTAAATATTATGGTCTTATTTAAAATCTATACGTAATAGCAACTCTACATACCCTAATACATTACAATTAGGAAATGAATCATACACAAATGAAACGAACGTGTGTGCAGGATTTAATAAATTCTTTGAAAGTGTTTTTCAAAAACCTTCCTCTTCTTACGATTATTCCCATATTCCAAACGTTGAATCAAACGATATATTACATAATATATACGTTAGTACCAAAAATATTTCTCGTATTCTACATACACTTAAAACCAATACAGGGCCTGGTAGTGATGGCATACCTCCTCTCTCAATAATCTATAATTTGTCTGTTAACACCTATGGAGCATTTCCTAGTAAGTGGAAAGAAGCTCTAATAATACCTATACATAAGAGTGGACCAAAAAACAGAATTGAGCACTACCGACCAATCTCCATATTAAACACATTTGGAAAGATTTTTGAAAAACTTATCTTTATACAAATTAGTCCTATAATTTTAAAATCAATACTAAATGAACAACATGGTTTTATAAATAAAAGATCAACCGTAACAAATTTGGCTATTTCTACCCATTATATATATAAGAGCATGGACGACAGGCAGCAGGTTGATGTAATATACACGGATTTTGAAAAAGCATTTGACCGTGTTGATCATGCTATCCTTTTGCGTAAACTTTACAGTTTGGGTATTCATGGTGATTTGCACAGATGGGTAACTTCATACATAAGTAACAGAAGGCAAGCAGTGTTATTGGGTAGTGCTCGTAGTGATTTTATTTCGGTAACATCTGGTGTCCCACAAGGCTCAATACTCGGACCTTTGTTCTATAACACCTATTTATTTGACATCGGTGACTGCTTCTATCATTCAAACTATTTAATGTTCGCAGATGATAAAAATATCTATCTAAAAATAAAAACAATTGATGACTGTGTTCTGATTCAAAACGATTTAAAAAACGTAGAAACTTATTATAGAAAAAACAGAATTACAATTAATAGTGAAAAATGTGTCAAAATAACCTTCAGTCACAAGAAACAGCTCATAGATTACAAGTATTCAATTAACAATAACACCACTATAAAGAGTGTATCATCAGTTAGAGATCTTGGTATCAGGCTGGACTCAAAATTAACGTTCAATGAACATATGGACAGTATTGTTGACAAAGCCTACAAGCAAATTGTATTCATAAAGCGCGTCTGTAATGATTTTAGCAGTATTAATTGCATTAAAGCTCTATATTTTGCATACGTAAGGAGTATTCTCGAATACGCTAATACAATCTGGTCTCCAAAATATGCTAAGCATAAGCATCGAATAGAATCAATTCAAAAACTGTTCATTAAGTTTATATCATCAAAAGATCACAATAGTTTTGCTACATACGAAGATGCTTGCAAATTTTACCGCTTAGATACCTTGGAACTCAGAAGACTTCAACATGATATGTTCTTGCTACACGGTTTATGGTCTAGTATTATAGATTTTCCAGTCTAAAATATCGATACTAGTACCTAAATACCGAACTAGACATACGCCATTATTTCACGTACCACGAGCAAACACAAATTACGCAAAAAATTCTACTCTATGTCGTATTGTTCAAAACTATAATAAGTGTTACGCTGACTTGGATATTTTCAACCTATCCAAGAGTCGCATCAAACGTGATGTTGTAAACAAAAATAGGGCATAATTACACACAGATACACACACACACACACACTCACACACACACACACACACACACACACACACACACACACACACACACACACGCGCGAACAGAGAGAAAGAGAGAGAGAGAGACACACACAGACGCATGCACACTTACTCCAGCACACACGCACGCTTAATTATTAGTTGATAAAAATAGTGTAATCTCTATTGGCCTTACTGTATGATAATATGTATTGTAAATACGATGAAAACCCTGTATGATTACCTAAATAAATAAAATAAAAAAAAATTACATTGTAATTAGGGCTGTGGATATTTTAATACATAAATAGAAAATAAAAATAATTTTAGCGACTGTAGGTATGTTGCGGTATAACAAAGGAGTTGACTCTCTAATAGAATTTTATTATAAATAATATGACAAAACTACACATCCCCGAGTCGCGTAAATGACATCTACGCCCCGTTCCGTGCCCCCCCCCCCCCTCACTATTTCTGACAGATAGTGCGTGTGAGTAAGCTGCGTTTTGTTTTTGCGCCTCGTCGATGTAAATTTTTGTCGAAAGAAAACAAATGGTAAATTTCGTTATTTTTATGTATTTTACACGATTTCTTCGCCATTTGGTAGAGAGAATACTCGCGCGTTGTTCCATGTTTTATTAAATTTGGTTGAATTACTTTTAGCTTTTTTTTTGCGGTTAGCGAGCAAAACAAGGAGTTTACTCTGAAATGAAAAATAGTTGATAATAAATAAAAATAGTTAATTAGCTTCAAACTGTTTACACATATTGCGTTTTTTTTTTGAAGGCGTTTTAACTTATTTCGAAGTTTCTGCTTTAAATAACATTGTAATTTAGAATTAATGTATTCTAAACAGATCTCTACAACACTCAAAAGTCTTTATATTTCATACCACATTGACTTGAAATGTGCTGTACCCTGCATCTTTACCTCAAAAACTCTCATTTACGGCCTAAATAAAAACACTTAACTCTATAAATGAAATATTATCACATTACTTCGCTGGATTTATTCCATATTGATAAACATTGCTATGTAGTCGTTATGCTCTGACAGGTGACAACGACGCAGCAGAAATATTTTCCTTTATAAATGAGTATTATCTCTGAAATCAAAAAATAATTATTATAATAACTTTTTATTTACTCATCATTTTGTTGAAATTTGTAAGCCGGAATTGGCCTCTAAATAACAAAATAAAATAAGTTAAATATATTGATACATAGCTTTTGACAGTTGAAAAAGTTTGAATTTTTTCATTTTGACATTAATTTAAAATAATAAAATGAATAAAATATAACAACATTATTATTCTATAACTACTTATTCTATTCCGCGCAAAAAAATCTGACAGAGCTATCAATCATTGTCAGCTTACTACTACGGTAACTTCCATGACAACTGTAATATTATTTCTCGTTTGTCACCTGTAGAAATAAAATTACTAGCAATAAACTGGAGGATAGTTACTGGGAATAAACCCAAAAACTTTACTGAAATGTCCCGAACCACAATCTCTTCTAGAGGTAATTCCGAAATACAAAACTATAAGAAATTATATTAGCGATACGATTATTAAAACTCATGATATTTTGTGTAAGGGTTAAATAGAATTAAAAAAGAAATGTAAACCTTCGGTCATAGTATAATAAAATCATTTTTGAATAATTTCAGAATAACCCCAAGATAGTTCGCAATTTCCCCTATACCAAAAAATTAGAACTGAATAATTCAAAATGCTCTATTTAGTGAACCCAACTACATATTTATGAATCTAATAAATCCATAGGTTAAATCTTTTCATTAAGTTAACAGAAGTCGCATAATATTGGCAGTAA